TTAATATGTCTCACACAACAAGGACTGTCCGTAGCCTACTTAACTTTATGACACAGGGTAAAACAAGGAATTGTTGATAGAGAAATGAATACACACTACTTCACAAGATGGAAGAAAAAGGCATGGAACCGAGCAACGGAGGCTGTGAAAGCCGACCCGTTCACCGGTCCAAAATAAAAATAATAAAAAAAATAACAAACCCTACGCTGCCGTGTTGGTATCAGACGGACAAACGTAGCAAAATGTAGATTCTACACACCGTAGCGATTTACAAGAATCACCGCCAATGCGGGTTTTGTGAGGACACAGACTGACTGTGCCAGAAATGATGACAATTTAACGGGACGCGTGCCCTATTTGTCTAACTGTGGCGCTAGCTTAGCTCCCCGGCCAGGCCTAGCGTTCTTTGTCTGTAGCGGCCAGACTGAAATTTCCCCGATTAACAAGTAGGCATCTCGCTCCACTTTTAATACGGACTTTAAAAAAAACGTACGCAATCTGAATGCAGTAACGCGTAACGGCTGTGCCTCGCTTTACGACGTTTACCGTGCAATCAAGCAACAGTAGGTGCCTACGGGCATTCCGTTTAGATTCGGCTTCTATAAGTCGCTCATGCAATGGAGATATTTTCCACAATAGCTCGCCCACAGTGTCAACACACTGAGACGAAAGGTGTCCGAGAATTTAGTCTCGGTTCTGAGGTCGGAGAATTTAGTGAGCGGAACAATTTCCGGTTAAGTTCAAAATAAGACATCAAAGTGAAACACAGAGAAAAGCGTTGTTTGTAGCTTTTAGATGTAAGAAATCAGACATATCGCAGATATAGAAGACTGGCTGGCTCGCCATTAAATGTAGCGTTATGGATTTATGCTCTTTTATGAAAGAGGAACCATGCTACGTATTAATTCGGAATATTAATTTTAATAAATCAATAACCAAATTTTATATTGTTCAGAAGACTCAAAGGTTGTTTTCATCCATAAACTGCCGATAATATCTGAGTGTCTGTGTTTCAGTTCAATGAGGAAACCAGTTTGACGTTTAAAAGTTTTAATTCTTCAAATTAAACTAATGATTTTGAAATTGACAAACAGGAAATACAATCAACATTGATAACTTTGTGGGACAATCTTTTTAACAGTTGATAGGCTGTTAATGCTCAAATAGACCTTCTGTAGGTGAATGAAGATTGAGAGTGATATGATGTGATTATGGATGCGTGTGGGTGCCAAGTGTAGTGAGAATTGAACATGAGATGAGATGAATGCATGTGTGCATCTGATTTTGCTTCAGGAAGAAACAGGTGTCTGAGTGAAGTGATGGTTTGAATAAACTTAGGTTTAGTGGAAAAGATGCATCAAAACGCTATCTGTCGTGTTTTGCCTCACCGAAAATCGGACCCTCTGTTGGACCCGGGACGTCACCTTAGGATGTTTCATCCACGTCACCTTGGCTGGCAAAGAAGACAAAGATGCACTGCGACCCGGTCCAGAGTTGTCCCTCGGTACACGTTGATGGTAAAGCGTTTTGTCGACGCGCTTTCTTAAGTTAATTCACTCAGAAATCAAAAGACTCGGTAATGAGTCTGCGTTAGAAGTTGCGATTCAGCTATTCTGCCTGGCGTGGCAGAAACAGCGTGAGAGGAGGGGGGGGGATTGAGCCCATGGGCTCCGTTCCCCGTTAGCGGTTGTTCACAAGTCCTCTCTCTCTCGTGGCCCAACACGAACTGAATCATAAGACTGAAAACTTACCAAAAAACCTCTCTTCTCAAAGCAAAAACATGTGCGTCATCAAATGTGTCTGGATTTTACTGTGGGAAGGTGTGTGTGGATGTTTGTGTGCTTGAGTGTGAAGGTCAGTACCAAACATTCAACATTATCTACTTAAGTGTGGATTCATTAATCCATTATAATTACCCCAAAGCATAAGAACCATTCATTTGATTAAACACATTTATAATGAGCAAAATGATAATGGTTATTTTAACATTAAAATCAAGAAAAAGAAGTTTAAACTTTATGTTTTGACTTGGTCTGGGTACAACTCATGTAAACACATCTTCTGGTAGACTGCAGGTGGCAGATGTTATGGTTTCCTCCCAGACTCGCTGGCGTTCAGGTCTTAATCTGTGGGTGAAAGTTCTCAGCGACCCAGCTTTGACACAGCTGAGTCCAACACCACCTTTGTGATAGAAAACCCATATTTCCTCACGTTACATTTATTATTTTGTTTGCCCAAGCAGTGGCTCTAGGTGCTGTTTTTGTATTGGTTATTGCACTATTAGTAGGGTAACAAACAAACAAAAACCCTCGTTTCATTTAATTTTAAATTTTCTTTATCTGCCTATTTTTTTTTTTTTTTTTTATTTTAGCCTTTAAAAATGTAAATGTTACTACCATTTTCCAGTGCCAATTTGGAGGACTGTTTAACGCACCTTTGTCTGAATAAAAGCGCATTCAATCAATAATGTGTTTTTAATGAGGCGGATCGGGGCGGCGCGGGTTGTAAAAATAGACCTAGTGATGCGGAGCGGTTTGGTGCAGGTCAGACGTTATCAAATCTGCGGTACCCGCGGGTTGAAAAGAACCCTAACCCGCACATCACTACATGGTCCCTTTGGGTCAGGTCATGTCCAATAACATTGCCTATTATAGCTGTGCAGACTACACAAAGAGCCAACTAGCTCAGTGGCCTAGTGGTTTGAGTGTCCGACCTGAGACTGGGAGATTGTGGGTTCAAATCCACGGTTGGGTCAAACCAAAGACGTTAAAAAGGGGACCCAATGCCTCCCTGCTTGATGCTCAGCTTTAAGGGGTTTGACCAAATAGTTCCCAAGTACAGCTGTGTCTACAGCTCACCGCTCCCCAAGGGGATAGGTCAAATGCGGAGAACAACTTTCATCAGTGTGTGACAACTAAATGGGACTTTAACTTAACTTTCAATGTGTCCCATTCACAAAACATTGAAAGGAAAGATCATCTGAGTCACCTAACAGAGAGGTTGCTGGCTGTAGAAAGAACTGGCTTGAAAAGTTGCTGTTTCAGACACTGCAGTGCTTGGAAGGTTGACCCTTGGGAAGTGCTGTCAGATAATGCTTTTAGCAGCACTCTTTAGACGGCCCCTTCAGCTAAAATTTTACCAGCACTGTGCACAAAATAACATTTTAGTGAAGATGTTTTTTAGTTTAAGAGTAAATGTGCCTCAAAATAAGTTGTACAATTGAGTTTCTTAACTCTAAACATACATGAGGAGCTGATTCATTATATTTAAGCCCAGATTCCTGAACTCTTAGCTTAACATTTCGAACAACTAAGATTATTTTCACTTGACAAGATAGTTAGTTGTTTTATGTAGTCACATTTACGAAGATCCATATGTAGAAACCTAAAATAATTGTTGCATTCTGTCTCTTAGTTGCAGGTGCACTTGAAGGATGGAGTTTGTAGTTTCTTTGTTTCTTTTTCACATATTTAATATTAAATAGCTTTTATCCTACATTAGTCAAGCATCTGTCACATGGCAGAACTCCTTCAGGCTTGTGTTATGTGTGGAGATAAAGAGAACGTTTTTGGTTTCATTGTTTGTTAATCTCAGTTTTGTCCTTACTTGTTTCTCAAGAGAATAAAAAATAATTTTAAACAAAAACTGCATTTTTTTAATGCAACCACTAAACCATGCTTGGACAAACATAGCGTGGACTCAGTCACACCTCAATAACAGAAAACAAGTTCAGCGTCAGTTGACAACCAGATGTCTAAATGTTACAAACACTGAAGCACCAGCACAGTTTGCCCCTACCGCCACGTGCACTCAGGCATTGGGTGCAGCTAAAGGTCAAACTGTTTTGTTTTTTAATAACGCTGCAATCAATACAGCCCAGGTGTTTCTGAAATACCACGCGTTCTCATTCCTCTGCCCAGTGTGACCAATTTTCTAATGGTTCATAATGGATTGAATCTACAAAGGATCTATACGAGTGCCAATCTGAAAATGTCGTCATTTGCGTTGTTAAGCTGAAACAGAAAAGGGAGGAACAGTGATGTGGGGAAGTACGACTGGTGAGAAAGAGTATGAATGAAATAAAACCAATTTAAAAGGTTCTAGGATTTAGGGTTAATATGAACATATTAATGCTAACACAAATTTAAGAAAAATACTAGAATAAAAGACAATTGCACTCCTCTTAAGATTGAGTATTCTTTTTTTTTTCTTCAGAAACATTTGAATAAGGCAGAAGGCCTGTTTAATAAAGATCTTCTATTATCCTGATTGCTCGTTTGACTGTGAGCCATGGGCCACATGCTTCATTTGCACAGATTCTGTGTAAAAGCAGGATTTGTGCTACCAGTTCTCAAAAGGGCCCAAAGAAATTCAGAGCACCTGCTTTTTGTAAAAGAAAGAAAACGGTCTATTCCACAGAAACCACGGTTTTGTCCCAGGTTTAGCATTCCAGGAATTTCCTGCAGGATGTGCTCTGCTCACCACATCCTGCACCCTGCTTGTGTGGTGTTTTCATTGTAAACATTGGATCAAAATGTATAGATTCATTATTATATACAGCTACAAATATTAAAGGAACTGGAAATGAGTAATTAGTTTAATCAGCATTTTTATTTTTAAATATAGCAACAGGTTTAGGAGTAAAACATAAAAGCCAGATGTGGCTGTAAAAGTCTATCACGTTTATGTTTGTTAAACAGGTTTATCTTTAAGGCCTGTGTTCAAACCGTGAGCTGAGTCCTAATCCAGCTTTATGAGCTGGGTTTGGTTATCTTGTATCGTGCAGGTGTTCCAGAACGAGGGGGTTAAACCGTTAGGCTCCATCACCTTACCCTCATAGTCTGTTTTTACAGTTAAAGGATGAGTCATGCTGAGTGTAACAACTCTGCTGTTTGCACCTTCTGCACCTCTTCACAGCTAATAAAACGATAAAACATCTCTGAGTTTGCAGAGTTTAAACAAATTTCTTTATCACAGCTGTTTTATTCTGCATATTTCAGACATGAATCATCTTTACCTTCAACTGTCAACAAGCACAATGCAACGCTAGAGCTAACCGGCTGGGATCCGGATCTGAATGGCCTTTATCAGTGTGAGGCCTCTAACGACTATGGAGCACAGAAAACGTTCCTCTACGTGCACTTGTCTTCAGGTGAGGATTCAGCTCTGATGGAGTTTGTGAAAAATGTGCTTTTGATGTTCGTTTTGATTATGATTTTAGAATTGTATAAATTTGAATAATGATTTTTTTTGTCCCCAACTTCCCTTTAAAGAGATCTGCATAAATAATAATTAAAAGAATTGGACGTGATTTGCATCAACAAATGTACCCGAGGGAGTATTTTGCTTGTTTAACTGAAGAAACTTAGAAAATTGAAATATCTTGCAAAAGTTTATTTATTCTAGTAAAAGCAAAAGGGTCTTAAAACCAAGTACTAATGCTATTTAAAATCCTTCTTTTACTGATTTCATGTTTTAAATTTGGGTTTTTTATAAGCTGTAAGCCATAATCCAAATGATAACAAATAAAGGCTAGAAATTTCTGGCTTTGCATGCAGCAAGTCAATTTCATATATTAGTTTCACCTTTTAGAATCAGAATCAGAAAGAATTTTATTGCCAGCGCTCCAGCGATCCAGAGCATAGGAACTTGACTCCACAGTACAGCCTGACCAAGATTACATACACACATATAGACAGGACAGATACAGGCAGACCGCAAGAGCAGCCATACGGCGCTCATTTCAGTAGATGAAGAGGGGATTACATGAGGAGAGTTCGGGGAGGGAGAAAAAGGCATTAACAGAGCTACACCGGCAGGGTGTAGCTCTACTATGCAAAAAAAAACCACCCAACATATAAGCACGAACGGCACAGTTCACAACATGAGACCCGGTAGGTAGGGGGGAGGGGCTGGGACCCTGGTTTCCTCAGCGGGAGCAGCCTGTGTGGCGCTCGGCCAACTGTATCCACAGGTGGGAGGGAGGTCACGGGAAAGCACAGAGCACAGTGAGTGTCTCCAACTTGATGACCTCACTAGGCAGAGACCACAATCTGAAGGCGGGGGGGGGGGGGGGGGGGGGGGGGGTTTCACAGCATTTGTCTGCATTCCTTCCATCGTGGGAGTTTTTGCACACAACTCCAAGGCTGCTTATGGCATCAGATTGGATAAGAAGACTTTGTTTGGGTCAGGCAGAGATAATTTTCCTCTCTGCCTTAAAGTCTGTATTTATCATTAAAATCCTCCAGTGAAGCCAATTCGGTGATTAAACGTCTCCACACCGTCTGGTTACCCTCTCCGAGATGACATCCAATTTGCGCACTGACACCGGTAACGCAGCTAAGACATTGTCCAGCTAGCGATTCACCTCGAGTAACGTCCCAGTCTGTGAGGTCTCCGCCCGGACGGTGCCGTCCATGGATGTGGGTTGCCCTCCAATCTCTCCCATCATCCCAATTTTACGGAAAACCAGATATCCTCCCACTCCAATCAGATAATAAGTTGTATCATTGAAGTAAATGAAATTTTGCACCATTTTCTAATATTGTAGAGTTTCATCTGTGTTCTGATGAGCTTCAAAAAGCCACAGTTGCTTTTCTTTGCAGGCAAGCAACAAGTAATAATAGAATAAGCTAAACATCAGTAATCTGGAGGACCACAGACATAACCTCGAAAGAAGGGATTGAATTTAAGCCTAAACACCTCATTGGAAGCTCAAAAGGTGGAATGTTTCAACAAAAACCCACCCTGAAATGTTAGTCTTTGTTGAAACTATAGGTGTTGTCAGGAATTCAGCTTTTCTGTTCATCCCGTATAATCTTGTTTTCACAAAACGAACCTGCATCTGTGTAGATTTAGTCAAACTCACCTGATTCTGCTAAATGAACAAATTTAGGACATTCTAACGTTTTATTTATTTATTTATTTATTTATTTATTTATTTATTTATTCATGCATTTGATCGATTAATCAAACATCTGATGTATTTTCCTGTGATGTTTATTAAGTATCAGGAGGCAGCCAGGCTGGTTGGATCCTATTTGGTCTTCTTTTGGCCTTAACTATAAGTGCTGCAGCATTTTTGTTCTTCAGAAACCATACAAAAAGTCCAAGGTAACACATATACAAGTCACACGACATTTGTGCAGTATACATTTCTGCAGCTAATTTGACATGTTTTGTCCCCTTTTTCTTGTCAAAGTTTCAGAAGACGGGAAGCGTCACGTGATACACCACTAGAACAAAACGAGCCCATTAGACAAAGTGGAGAAAGTTCCTAGCCTCATATTTGGACCTTTTAAAATGGTAAATCCATTTTAAATATGTTTGCTTTAATTGCTTTGTGTGTCTTTTTGATTTAATCGGTTTATTCAGTAGCACACTGCATGAAACTACTGTTATTTCATGTAGTGCATCGATGAGTTTAAATGTACTAATAATGTGTTTTAGCTGAATGTGTAAAACTTCTCTGTTTGGGGTTTGTTTCAGAAACAGCATCCTCAGCTGTTGAACCAACAGAAACGACAGCAGGTGTTGTGCTTGATTTTAGAGCTTCTGGTGTGTTGAAAGTGTGATAAGCAGCTGCAGACCTTGCTTGTCCTTATCGCACACATGGCGTCAGTTAACATCCTGTTTGATAAGGAAATAGAGATGGCTTTGTGTTTGTTTGACTACCTCTGTTGGTGACTGAAGATTTTTTATTTATTGGTTCCCCAGCACAAATAATAAGCTCATCACGCTGATCTCTGAAGGACAGATTCAGTTTTGTATATTTTGTGAAGCATGTCCCGGTAGCTGGTTTGACTTGATCCCTTGTTTTTACCATTAACTGATTTTCCAATAACTGTTGCTTTTGCAAAGGCTTACATCATAACTCGGTCACTCTAGTCAAAGAATTGTCGACTAGCAGGGCCTAAACCACGCTCAAGTCAAGCCATGATGGTGGAATGATCTGTTCTTCAGGGCGTCTCCTACTCTCTTCTAGAGATTTAATCTAAATCCCACATTGAGTTTCTGACCCCTTCTGCAGTCTGTCATTGTCACACAACTGTTATTTCATCTAACCCTGCCTCCACCCACAGACCCAGTAGTTCAAACAAAGACAAAATAAGCAGAGCGTTTTTTCAGAGTAGCACGCTTCTCCTACCCATTTTATTAGGAAAGGCAAGGCAGCTTTATTTGTATAGCACCTTACAACGGTATAAAACCGACCAATTTTTTTTCACAGAAATGAAAACATTAAAAACAATGCACAACATACAAATGCATAAAAAGTAAAGCTTAAGAACTAACACTAAAAAGAATCTCATGCTGAGTTAAACGCCAAATCATAAAAATAGGTTTTCAAAAGAGATTTCAAACCAGTGAAGAAGCCGACCTAATGCTATCAGGACTCACAGTCCATCTTAACGACCTACCAATACTACACTTCCCTTTCCCCGCTGTCTCTGTGCCCTACGACACTGTTTCACCACAGCCACCACTGTCTCCAAGCACCACCACCACCACCCCCCCCCCCCCCCACCCCCCCACCACCCCCCCGCTCACACACACACACACACAGCCCCTGATTGCACTTATTGTTTTCAGTTGGCCCAAACCAGAGCTACTAGAAAACAGGATTACCCACAGATGAGTTTCCTTCTTTTCCCAATGGAAAATATTGCAAAGCAAAAGTTTAAGAAGACAAAAACAAGCACTAGCAGACACTCAAGGCCCTTCGGTGCAGATTCAAGTCCAATAGTGCTCCTTTATTACCTCCTTCTAAACCACTGTAAACAAAAAGCATCTGACAAAAACATTGGGTGGGGAAACCTATAGGGACTCAAGAATTTCCCGTTAGACAGGATCCAGAAGCATTATACAACTGTAAATATCCTGTATTTATACAGCGCCATCTAGAGTCGTACAATTTGTATGGAGACACAGCAGCTGAGAGGATTGCGCCTATCTCCTGCTCAAGTTTCCACTCAAAGGAAATTCCCCTGCAGTTCCAATAATGTAAACACACCTGGTATAACCATAGCAGCCTTGGGGCGAATGACGGATGTGAGGCTGCCACACACTAGTTCTTTCTGCAAGGCAGGTGACGTTTTTCCAAGGAAACTATGGCAGGCTGAGTGAGGCATGAACCTGGTTATGAAGCAGGCCCTTGACTTCTCATCCACCTTAGCCTCATTTTAAAGTTGGGACGTGATGCCCGTGGGTGCAGGGTTCAATGAGAGTAAAAACAAATCTTACTTTAGTGAGGAAGTCCACAGTTCTGATAAGATGGGTGGCAAATATTCCTGGGATGGAGAAGTTTTAAACAGTGGATGGTTAGTACTTCTACAGATGTAGCTGGAAATCTCAGGAGCTAGTTTACCGCAACAAACAGGTAACAGAACCAGAGATCTGGATTCCTAAATACTCGACCAGGAAATGAGAGGGTGAGTTTTAGTTAAGCCTGCTCTTGGAAAGGTCCTGCCCAATTGAGAAACTGCATGGAACAGGAAATACCCTTCGAACTGAGACCTAATCTGTAAACCTACAGATGGGAAACATCAAAATTTAACTATTCCATGTTCTGAGTTCAATTTCTGCTGTGAAAACCCTAAAATGTTCCCAAAAAAATACACTGAGATAACAGAATTCAAATAAGCTATTGTTTAAAACGTTCACGTGGCTGCTCGCCTTTATTCATAAAGGAAAACCTGACAATTTCTTCAACAAACAATAAAATTACTCTAATAATCTGCATTTGGATGAAAGCATGATGGATGACATCATGAAGATAGGAGGACACAATGACTGCAACTTTTCATGAAAGTTATGTATTTTTCTCAAACAGCAATTAGCTAGTTAATATTGCATAAAAACATCAGAAATACATAGCTATATTTTTATAAACACTATATATTTTTACACTAATTTTAACCATTAAATTAGTTTGTCAAATGTATAAAATCAGGTGATTATTTCAAATTAAAGTAAAAGTTGCTAAAGATGTTTAAACCAAACATTCATTTATATGTTTTTTGGCTGCATGTTTTTCTTTACAGTTAAGGTGTTCAAAGATTTCTCACATAAATAATCAAAAATGTCGAGTGAAGTTTGTTTTAAGGACCGATTGGTCATTTTGATTAATCTGAAATCTAACATGATGTTAAAGGGATTTCATTAAGGTTTTTTACATTTTTTATTCTGTCATCCCATATTTTTAAACCTCTTTTTGTTTAGTGCTAATATGTTTAATTCATTTTCTGACTGTCACATGAAATTATTTTTCATGCTGTGTTTACTCACTTACTGCTTTATTTAATTGAAGGCATTTTCACATTCTCATTTGTGTGGTCTCATGTTACGTGTGAAGGAAAATATGCCGGAATCATTCATGTGTTCATATTTGGTTCTACTTTGAATTATTCCACTCATCATGTAAAGTTGATTCTAAAACATAAACCAGCAACAACCCTGTTATTAGAGTAGCTACTGACTGACTGACAACATGTTATGACCCAATCATCATCAGCAAAGGAAAGAAATGAAGCAAAATAATAAGGATTTGCTGCTAAAAGCTGCTGCCTGAAAACTCTGACCAGGAAGCTCAACTTTTATGTAAAATCATCATTATTATATTAACTGTCATTGTAAATACAGTTATTGTTACAATAACGTCACTATACGTTAGAAATGGTAATATTGTAGGTTTGTGATGGTTTTGATAATGATTGTCACAGTGTTGTTGTCTTTAAAGTGAGACTCTGGATAATAGATTTTACCTGATGGCACCATCTAGTGGCTGACAAATGTATTGCACCAAGCCTTGGTTTTCACTTCTGTATTTATGGTCGAAAGCAGTGCCACTCATTCATGATTGCGCTCCTCTAGCTGACAAACAGAGATGCTCGTGTTATGGGTTGTATTCATGTATTTATATTTTAAAGACTTACTTGTCCATGAGAATGGTCGCCAACTCTGCATCAGCCGAGATTCGTCCCTAAACGCTCGAGCACGGTCTGTGATTAATGCCTGTACGTAATCGGTAGCCTATTGGTAGCTATTGGTTAGTGCTGATCGGCGTTCAGTTGATATTGCATTGAGTTCTATGGGACAAGGCGCGGGATTAGCCAAAACAAAAAGTACTGCTTACATTTTATCATACCACATGATAAAACAATCACATGTATGGATTTTTTTTTCAATCATGCATAATTCTTGAAAGGGGAAAACTCCATATTGCAGCTATAAGAAATGCATTATTTAAATAGAAGGTTTTGGGTATCACCATAAATTAAAGGAGTAGGTTTTTTTCTACATCTGTGTTTAGGACCTCCAAGTATTTTTGTAGAAATACTACTGGTTGAGGGGACCGGTGGAGCCAGTATTCGTCAGGCTTCACATTTGTCAGTGCGCCGCAGGACAGCTGTGGTTGTCGTTGTAGAACCCTAAGAAGGCAGTTTACAAACACATAAAGGCAACTTACCGTTTTCTTCTATTTTTAACTCAATCCAAAATCTTTAAACTATTCCTGGACCAATAAGGTCTACTTTTGTCAGTGTGTGGTCATCGAAAGAGTGCTTGGGTAGAAATGCTTGAATAAAAGTACTTCTTAAAAAAGAAGAAAAGTGCAGATTTAGAATGAAGAACTGAATATTCTGTTAAAATGTTACTGTTATTTCATGACTTTATTGTCATATCTAACCTTTGTATGCCGTCTGTGCTTTAGTCTGTTTTAGCTGTTTTGTTTGGATTTTTTTATACAAAATAAAAGAAACTAACTGACCCTCGTCTGCCTCTGTGTTTTTAGTGGCCAGTCATCTCCTTTTATGCCTTTTTAAGAGGCAGCTTAGTATAAACAATAGGGAATCGCCAGGGAATGTGAAGAATGTAAAACTTAGCCCATTCTGACTGCTGTAAACACATTTTTCTAAATATAAAAATAGTCAGAGTTCATATGGAGTTCTGGGACTTTTTGTTGTTTGTGAAAATTTCATTGAGACAGTTTTATTTTTTTTAAGGCCCTCTAAATTCTCTCTGTTTTTATTCACATCACCTCAATCACTGTGTCTCTGGGTAAACAGTTGACCATTTCCTGTTCTTGATTTTTTTTAAGCACAAGCTCAAGTGGCGCTCAATCAGCTGATTACACAGTTTCGTCATGGTTATTATATTTTAATCTTTTCCTGAGTGAAAATTCACATTTAGATCAGAAATACCTGTTAAATACTGCTCCATGACATCATGCAGTTTTCTTTGTTCTTTCCTGTTTTAAAGAGTGAAAAAATGATCAGATGACAATGAGACTAAAAAGGATTTTCATTCTCTTTTTTTCAATGTTTATTAAAGCAAAACAACAAATATTATATATTTATTGACAAAAACACCTTTAATAAAAGCGTGTCAGCTGACCAAAGGGCTGCAGGGTAAAAATGCACACACAAAAACACAGGATTAAAATTCACCTTCATACAGAGAGTGCATGTTTAACTCATTCACTGCTAGACGTTCCTGGTCAGTAAAGCCCTTTGCTGCCAGCCATGTTCAAAATTTGGATTTAAAATGACGACTTTTGTCGTCAATGGCAGTGAATGAGTTAATAAATTGTTTTTTAAGCATGTTCATTGCGCCTTTGTTCAGTGTTTATGGCGCATGTGTTCATTACATTAGTGTTTATTAACTCATTCACTGCCACACGTTTCCAGATCAGTAAAGCCCTTTGCTGCCAGCAATTTTCAAAGTTTGGATTTAAAATGACGACTTTTGTCGTCAATGGCAGTGAATGAGTTAATAAATTGTTTTTTAAGCATGTTCATTGCGCCTTTGTTCAGTGTTTATGGCGCATGTGTTCATTACATTAGTGTTTATTAACTCATTCACTGCCAGATGTTCCTGATCAGTAAAGCCCTTTGCTGCCAGCAATGTTCAAAATTTGGATTTTAAATGACGACTTTTGTCGTCAATGGCAGTGAATGAGTCAACAAATATTTTTTTAAGCATGTTCATTGCGCCTTTGTTCAGTGTTTATGGCGCATGTGTTCATTACATTTGTGTTTATTAATAAATAGTTTTTTAAGCATGTTCATTGCGCCTTTGTTCAGCGTTTATGGCGCATGTGTTCATTACATTCGTGTTTATTAACTCATTCACTGCCAGACTTTTCCTGATCAGTAAAGCCCTTCGCTGCCAGCAATTTTCAAAGTTTGGATTTAAAATGACGACTTTTGTCGTCGATGGCAGTGAATGAGTTAACAGTCAGAGAAACCTATAAGATCAAAAATAAGACCATAAATAACTCAAATGCAGAACAAGACCCCAGCAGACCTCAATGACCTGGAGGGGTCTAGGTTTTAGACAGGTTATGTAACGGAGCTGGAAAACACAGGATCTAACAGTAGCAATAACATGCGCAGACATTGTCAGGTGGGCATCTACCTTAACACCAAGACTAATCACACAGGTTTTAAGGTTAAGGGTAGATGGATCAAAGTCATCAGATGTATGCACAGTGTGTTTAGGTTTGAATAGAACAAACTCAGTCTTATTGTCATTTAACATTAGAAAATTAGAAGCAAGCCATGTCTTAATGTCCAGGAGACACTCATGAAGCACATTTGTTGATCTTGACTGATTTAGAGCCAGATAGATCTGACAGTCATCAGCATAAAGATGGTGGTGCAAGCCATGCTTTGCCAAAATGTTTCCCAGTGGCAGAATGTAAATAGAAAAAAGGAGTGGACCCAGAACAGACCGCTGGGGCACCCTATCAAGGAAGTGGCACAAAAGATGAAGAGCAGTCACCTAGATGGACACTAAAGCTTCTTTCTGTCAAGTGGGAGTGGAACCAGTCTAAAGGAGTCCCTGTGACTCCAATCAGCGCCTCCAGCCTGTTCAAGAGATGTGTGTGGTCAACTGCATCAAATGCTGCAGAGAGGTCAAGCAATAATAACGGGACATAAGAGCCACAGTCAGTTGCCGCCAGACAGGTAGATATTCCCTCAGTAGTCCTAAACATGACAGATGAATGAAAGTTTGTCCTTAAAGCAGAATCAGTTTAGGTATTGTGTTTGTAACGAGAACAGGGGCAGATTTAGGACTGAAGAAGATCCGGGGCTTAACACACACGCGCGTGCGTGCGCGCACACACACACACGTGACACGCACTAGTCTTTTCATAAAACATTCGGGGCTTGAGCCCAAGTAGCCGGGCCTAACGCCGCCCTGAACGAGAAGTCTGAGCGTGCTGCTCGATCTCCAAGTCGTTCTCGTAAATTTCTTCTGGTTGTTGCTGTTGAAGGAAAAAACACATAAGAGAACAACAGAAGTATTTAGTTTTGCAAAACATCTGAACGATTATGTCTACTAACATCTGTAACTGTGTAGTTAAGCTGGAAAGCGTTAAATGTAAACCAACTTAATTTTTACTAGAACCAAAACTTTTTTTTTCTAAAATTTGGGACAGTTTTGATGCTTTCAGATGTTCAAAATGTCACTTTTGTATAAATGTTTCTTCCTCCGTTTAATTCTAGAGCTCTTAGCAAATTGACATTTGTTTTTGGCACATTATTTAAATCCTATATTGTGAAAATTTCCTAGTGAATTTTGCTTCATTTCTTCACAATTTAGTCTTTCTTGCAAAACATTAGTTATTTTACTGCAAAAGTGAGTACATAAAGAGGAGAAAACACCGTTTGTCTGTATGAAGGTGCTGGATAAAGTGTTGAGTACAGTAAGGAAAAAATCTGCACACTCCTGCAAAAGTAGGTTTTGCTGTAAGTTTTAGTTCAGGACTTGATGTTGTTTCCTGAATTCTGATGCAGAAATTAATGAAACATTATAATTCAAATGAAATTATATAAAAAAAATCTTCCAAACAGGTATTTTTTACTTTCTGGTGGTGGTCAGAGGGACCGGTGGCACCAGTGCTCGGCAGCCTCGCTTCTGTCAGTGCGCACCAGGGCAGCTGTGACTACAATGTAGCTCATCATCACCAGGGTGTGAATGGGTGGATGACTGATTGTGCTGTAAAGCACCTTGGGGGTTTGTAGAACCATACAAAGGCGCTTTACAAATACAGGCTATTTTTATAAACCTCTCATGCAATGAATGTCATTAAACTGATGCACTTATCCTTAACTCACTGCTTGTATTTTCAAATATAATAAAAGCAGCATGCATATCAATTATTTTTTGCATATTAATAAACTGACTGCAGAACATGAAAGCACAATAGATGGGCTACAGCTGTAGCACTAGTGCATTCACTGATATCACTTTATAAATGAAAGTTTTTTTTTACTTTTTGCTGTTTGCAATTTTCCAACTTAACTACTCACAGCCACTCAGATTTAGCAAAGCTTCAAAGCTTATGGATATATTTGTACTTAAAAAAAATCCTAAAGCATCACCTTAATAATTCTTTTACTTTTTACCCTCACTGAAACTGCAGGATTTTCATTTCTGTAGGGGAAAAAAAAACATCTATTTTATTCCTGTTCCTGTAAAATGATGCTGTCAGTGACGCATGGTAGATGATGACACTTACTTCCATTTCCACTGCCCAAAACACATCAAAACGATTCCAATTATTACCAGGACGAATACAAAAACAGCAGCAGCCACAATAGCAATCAGTGATGTAGAGGAGCTTTTATCTTCCTCTGTTAGGGAAGAAACAACGGGAACAGAAGATTATCTGTTTCATTTAAAAATATGAAATATACAATTGCTTGTGGTTATTTGGTGTTTTTCAGAGTGAGATTACATTCACAAAGGAAGCAGGGTTAGTTGTCATACCCTGTGGTTTCTATAGATATGGTTCGAACTCAGTTACGGTTTAAAAGATTCAAGAGTCTCAAATTTAAGAAAAATATACAAATAGGATTTGAGGGAGGGAGGATTTTTCCCTGAAAAGCTTCATTTGAGGCTATTTACATGTGAGTACATTAACAATGCTGGTAGATCCAGGCAAGTCTTCTGGATCTGTAATTAAAAGTGAAATGAGGGGTTCGGCTTCAGTTTCCTCTGATAATAGGATGTAGAAGAAGTTTGCAAACCTGTAACAACAAGTTCCCAATTTTCCTCAAAGACTCCTGAATCTGTGCTCGTCTCACATGTGTAGTTTCCTGTGTGGGACGTCTGGATGTTCTTTATGACGAGGCTGTACAGTTCATTCTCCGATTTCAACACTTTTAAGTCGAGATCGGCCGCTAGTGTAGAGTTGTGGATTCTATTTCCTTTTTCTTTTAAGCTGAACAGCATTTGTTTGTTCATTTTCCATGTCAGCTGATTCAGTCCGCTGAGCGAGTTGTTGCTGCAGGTCAGTTTCACTCCATCGCCCACCTTGGTGAGGATTGTTGCTTCTGTGCAAAACAAACGAGACGTTTTGTTATTCTTGGTTCATGTTAACACTTTGAACTGTTGAAAACAGGAGGCTGAGCCAAATCCATTTTGTTGGGCTTAGGAAGGCAAATAAACTACACTAAAGCCATCCACCCTATATAAATTGTAAAATATTTCACTTTCTGTTTGTTCTGAGTTGCATTTTATCACTAAGAAAGACACTGATCACAGTCAAATGTAGGTTTGTAACAGATTTTTTTCTCTTTTTTCACATAAAATCAGAAATGTGTCTTTAAGTCATTTAAACACTAAAGTTCAAGTAGAGAAAAGTCTGCAAAGCCCAACTACAACAGCTAAAGATAAACTAAACTTGAGATTATTTCTGTTTTACATGCATACTTTGTACCAGATACCATGTTATGTGGCTAACTTTGCAGCATGGAAAGAAAAAGAACAAATCAACCACTGTAACGTCTATTTGCATTGCAAAGGAAAGCAGAAATACACATTCAACATTATTCAAGTTAATTTTACCTGCTGGCCAGAAAATCCAGAGCATGAAGCATGTCACGGTGCAGCTGATGCCAAAATAGCTTGAAACATTCACCATCCCACCTTAAAATGGGTAATAAATAAAGAACTATGAACCATCAAATCATGGTTCTGACATCCAGATGTAAATCTTCAGATTAAAATCATTGAAGTTGAACAAGCCTTAAAGACAACCACGACGTCTCCCAGTGTGAATAAAAGCTGCACTTCCTTACCTGTGTCGCGGTTTGGTCCTATTTACGTGTTATCGCTGAGTTTTAGAGCTACTGAGGCAACAGAACACGATTATGTGTGTAGGAAAGAACAAGGTCTTGTCTTTCACCATTAACTACTGACGTTCCTGCCACCTCTTGAGTCTAAATTGGGTTAGAACCCACACGCGCACGGAAGAAATGCTTTTCACACAGGAAATGCAAGCAGAGAGCATGTGAGTAGTGCGCTTTTTGTTGTTTGTTGGTCGGTTGGTTTGTTGGGGGGCTGAGAAGTGTGACTACTGTGTGGCATTTGCTCACAACAATTGATTTGCATTATTTTTCTCTGCTTATGTGATGTACCCTCTGGAGTGTTGAAGGTCAAAGGTCACACATAATCCTTTTGCTTTTAAGTTACATCATCAACCTGTCATGGTCTGCTTCCTGCGTCCCCCTCATGTGTTCTCCAGCCCCCCTCTAGGTTCCCCTCATGTGCCTCCTTGTGTTCCCCAGCCCCACTCCATGTTCTCCCCTTAGGTTTCTGTGCCCCTTTAGGTCTCCAACCCCTCCAGGTGTCCCTCTAGGATCCCCCTCATGTGTACCTAAGCTTCCTGTGCCCCTGCTTGTCTCCAGCTCCCACCAGGTTTCCCAGGTTTACTTACGGTATTTAGTTTTCTTTGTATTTAAATTATCTAGCTACTTTTTCCCTGTAGTTTCATAGGTTCAGGTTTTCTTCTATGTTCCTTCCTTGGTCCTTCCCCACCGGTTTATTAGTTCTCCTTTCCTCCTTAGATCACTAGTTATTTGTCTTGATCTTCTAGTCTTTAGGTTTGGTTAATATTCATAGGTCATGTTTTATTTCCCCTCCTCAGTTTAGTTTCCTCTCCCTGATTAGTAAATTGATTTCACCAGGTTTCTCTCTCCCCACGCACCTGCAGCTCATCTCCCAATCATCCTGCCCCTGTGTATAAAACTCTGTCTGTGTCTCAATGTGTTGTTGGTCCATTGTCCTTGTCAGCGTTGTTTGTCCCTCAATAGGGTCGTGGGGAGCTGGTGTCCAACTAAACCAGAAAGAGGTGCGGGACACCTTAGACAGATCTCCAGTCCATCACAGGGACACGCTCGCTCATGCCAAGGGACAATTGAGAGTAGGAGAAAAATGGAGAATCTAGGAAAAACCCTTGATCAACAATATAATGATGCCATGGCTGAATGTTCTTCACTCTCCCTGGATCTCCATTACTTGCATTTCTGTCAATTATTCTAGTAGCTTTGTCTCTATGTGGATAGAATCACAAAGTTTATTAAACATTGTATAAAGAAGAGCAGGACCAGGGTTTCTCCATCTAATGGTGCTTACACATTAGCATCAGTACGGTCTGGCACAGGACCAGAATTTGGTTTCTCACATGGGTCACACATGAGTTTTCGGTTCTGAGGCAACTCTTTTTTTCAGAACTCCTCCCCAGAAGTTCAACTGGGACCGAGGTGACACTACAGACTGACTGGCTGGCTGAAATTCACACCCACTGCCTCCGACTGGCAAGTGTCAGAGTCTCTAAGAACAACACAGCTCACCTCCGCCTGTGTTTATCTGAATATGGAGAACACCACAGACTTTCCCACTCATCTTAAATGCTGCCCACTGGCTCGGGGATTTCCACATTCCTGAGAAATTCTTCTGAACTACATGTGAACACTACACCACTCATACGAGACCGAACTGGCGCTATTCTTCCTGGACCGTATTGACCCTAATGTGAGTAATCGGCAACAGTAGCTCTAAATAACGCAGAGTAACTGGCTCTACACACTTGGTCCAATCTGCTGCCTTTATAGGGACCTTTTTAAGGAGGCACAAGATAGCCTTCCACTGCTATGCAGACGATACTCAGATGTACGTACAGTATGTGCCTCTGAAGCAGAAAAATGGGTACAACACAGAATATCTAGATGAATGAAATAAAATCCTGGATAGCATTAACTTTTTAAACTTTAAAACAAAAAAGCAAGAGTTGTTTATTTTTATTACTGGTACCTCCGGGGGGGGGGGGGGGGGGGGGGGCACTCCTATAGACTCTTGCAGTGTTCTGAAAGCCATCAGCAACAAATTAGGGTTTTAAAGTGGACAGAAAATTTAAGTTGGATAGTCAGGTCAGAGCTGTTGTCAAATCCTGCTTATTTTGTCTGAGACAGCTAGCTAAAGTCAAAAACATATTTTTACAGGAAACTTTTAAACAGTAATCCATGTTTTTAATACAACTCATCTCGATTGCTGTACCTCTTTATACTTTGGCACTAGTCAATCTTCTCTGTCTCTGCTTCAGCTGGTGCAGAATGCTGCCACTCGGCACACACACACACACACACCTCCTGTTTTATCCTCTCTGAACTGGCTTCTTGGCCATTCTAGAGTTTATTTCAAACCTATTTTGTTTGTTTAAATCACCACATGGTTGTGCTCCGTCCCTCTTCTCCGAGCCACTCCACCCTCATTCCTCACTCGAGTCATCTGACCAGCTGGGTCTGGATGGACCAAGGACTAGGCGTAGGCTCGAAGGGGCCAGGATCTTTGCTATTGTTGGTCCCAGATTGTGTAACTCTTCAAGTGGCCGCCTTGTTAAATCTTTGTTTTCAAAACACTCCCTTTTACTTTGGTTTTCAACCCAATATGAGGTTTTTTTTCCTTTTTGCATTCTATTGGTTTTACTGACCTTTTCGTGTTTTAGTGTTGTGTTTACTCTATTTATCCTTCATTTGTTTCATTCTGTTCAAAGTGTTTATGCCCAGCGGTTTCAGCACTATGTTCAGTGTTTTTAAAGAGCTTTGTCTCTGTGGGTAGAGGGTCAACAGTCAGTTGTTGAATTGTGAAGGGAATAGTTGCTAAACTGTCCAGTGATCAGATCGCAGAAACAAAGGAAAGTTGTTTTTCTCTTACGTCTTATGACAGAGTCGGGCTTGCTTAATTATATCTTGTGACATGAAAACAGTTCACTAGATCAGAGATCAGGCTGTCTGTATGGATAGCTTCTCTGGTACTTTTCACTGAGCTTAAATAGAAATTTCCGCTAGAGTCATGGTGGGTGAGAGGAGGCAAGTGACCTAAATATGGATAGTTTCCTCTGAACAGGAGGATTCTGTCTCTTGAGGAGTGATGTCATGTTTTATCTTTAACCCTATGGAGGCAGGAGTTGCAGATTTTCAACAGTTAAAACCTACCTGGTTACTCCACATACGTATTTCATGAGCATTTTTTAACTCAGAAGTACCCCTGAAGGACTTAGTTGTTCGTCCTTTTATCAAAATTTATTTTGAGACTGAGAGGGTTAAACAGTCCAGTCCCCGTTTCCTGCTGTTGCTTTAATTGGGACTCTTCCGCTCTCTCTCTCTTTTTCCTACCAACCTTTTTGGACAAAAGTAGCATTTGTGGGTTTTTTATTCATCAGAACTGAATCATTCAGACCCATTACACTCACTCAGTATGCATTAAATATTTCTGCATGTCATGGTTTACTGTTTTGTTTGTTCACTTTACATGGAAAATGTGTTTTAAAAAAACTTTAGCGGCACTGCCTACTTATGCAATGGCCTCATTGAGATTTTTTTTATGTAGTTATTCATTCATTTTTGGGGAGGTGGGGGCCTTCTAAAGACTAACTAATTAACTAACTAAAACTTTATTTATATAGCGCCTTCACATGGCCCAAAGACCAAAGAGCTGCACTGCAGAAATAAACATTTAAAAAAATAAAAACAAATAAAACCATTTAAAAACCAACAAAAACATGCAGATAAAATCTAAGTGGGGCAGCAAAAAGTGCAAAGCCATCAGTTAACGGGACTCTTCCTGAATAAAAGCTAAAGAATAAAAGTGAGTTTTCAGCTGGCTCTTAAACTTGGCGGGCCTGTTTAACCCATGTAGGTAGCTCATTCCAGAGCCTCGGCCCCAGCACCGAGAAAGCACGACCCCCTCGAGATTGTAGTCTGTGTTTAGGAACGACCAACAGTCCTTGTTGTGCTGACCGAAGGTTCCTTGCGGGAACATAAGGATGGATCAGATCCGCCAGATAACGTGGAGCCAACTCATTTAAACATTTAAGAACAAACACCAGAACTTTAAACAAAATTCTAAAAGAGACTGGAAGCCAGTGTAGGGATGCCAAGACAGGCGTGATGTGTTCAGATCTCCTGGTACCAGTCAGTGACCTGGCTGCCGCATTTTGGACTTTCTGTAGTTTCGCTATGGAGGCCTGCTTGATGCTTGCATAAAGCGAGTTACAGTAGTCCAGTCTGGTGGTAATGAAGGCGTGGATGACAGTTTCCAGATGTTTACGTGATAGTAGTGGCTTAATCCTAGCTATTCTCCTGAGATGGAAATAGCAGGAACTGATTGTTCCATTATCCTGGGTGTCCAGTGTGAGCTCTACATCCAACTTCACCCCCAAGTTGGTGACCACAGCCTTCTCAAAAGGAGCTAATGAAGGAGAGTCAATCCCTTGGGCACATCCATGTTTGTATTTCTGGCAGAGCAGGATAGTCTCAGTTTTATTCCGGTTGAAGAACAATACATTTTGAGCCATCCATATGACCATTAGTTTTGGCAAAATGACACAATTAGTCTAGCAGAGAAAGCTCAGTTTGTTCATTTTGGGTTAAATTAGGATTATGCAAGAGCACTAATGAGTAGAATAAATTCTGTAGGAGAAAAATAAAGTCATAGTAAGACAGATTTAATTTCTCTGAGGCAAACAGATGCTCTAAACCATTTAGACATTTTAATAGAGACTTTTTAAGCCTCCTTATGTTAACAAAGCCATAAAAAATGAGAATCTTTTTGTCCTCTTGGGAAAAATAATATTAAGGAGGGGGAGGAACTGAATTCACAAAGTTAAAAGAGTTCATAAAAACACTTCCTCTATATTCTTCTAAACATTGTTTCGTCTGTAAATAAAGGTGATTTGGAGCTCTCTGCTGGCAACAGAAGAACTCTCTGAGACCAACAGAGAAAAGAAGGGAAGATGGGGGGTTGCTGACCTCCAGTGTCTGAATGCTGATACTACAGTTTTTCTCTTCTTAGTCATTTTAGTGGAGACTATTTTTAGCCGATTTCTTTTTGCCCTCTTGGGAATATTATTATTAAGGAGGAGGAGGAGGAACTAGATTCATAAAGATTAAAGGAGTTCTTTAGTAGAAACTCTTCTTATTCTTCCAAACGCTATTTTATTGTTTTGAAACAATAGGAAATTAGCGCCCTCTGTTGGCAAAAGTAGACCAACACTCTGGAGTCTAAACGCTGAGATAAGAAGGGAAGATGAGGAGTTAATGCCCTCCAGTGTCTGAAAGCTGGTACTACACTCTAAAAAACATTTAACCCAATTGTAACCCAGCCACTAGGTCAATAGTGGTCACACCCAGTAGGCTACTGGGTTATTTTAACACCTACAATTAGTGCGTACACACACACACATACACACACCCACAGTTTGTTCATCTGTACTCAGATTGAGACAAATATAATTTACAATTCAAAAGCTTCTTATTCTCTATGCCACTGAAGGCTGTGTTAGAAACATGTGCAGCTCATCAAGAGTCTCAACAAGAACTAAGAGTCTTAGATCTCTACACTGGTTACCAGTAAACTACAGAATAGATATGAAAGTGCTTCTTCTAGTTTACAAATCACTCAATAGCATGGGACCAAAATACATGTCCGATCTCATTCCTGTACATACACTCAACAGGGCTTTGAGATCCCTTGGAAACTATCTGCTGGTAGAACCACGGGTCAGAACAAAACAAAGTGGAGATGCTTTTAATTACTATGCTGCTCACATCTGGAATAAGCTCATGACCTCAGATGTGCCCCAACCCTAGTGGTGTTTAAATCAAAACTAAAAGCCCTAATGTACTCTTCATCATTTTAAAAGCATTGTTTCTTATGTTGCGTCATCTCCACTGTAGCCTGCACTGTAACTCAATCTTCTCCTTTAGCTCTAAACTATAATTCTATCTATGTTTATTTTAATTTGTGTTTTCATGTTGTTTTCGTATCATGTCCTGATAATTGTAAAGCACACTGAATTGCCTCTGTGTTTGAAATGTGCTCAATAAATAAAGCTGCCTTGCCTCATTAAAAAGAGAAGTCACTAATGTAAACAAAAGTCTGAGCTC